AACCAGTGACCGGCGGGGGCCAGAGCCCTGGCCAGCGGGGCTCCCTGCAGCCCAGCACCCTGCGTCACAGTGCAGCTCCGCGGGCACCGGCCCTCCAGCTGCTGTGCGCACCCCGCCGTGATGGCCCCTGGGGCTCGATGCAAAAATCCCACGGTCACCCCTGTCGGGCCTCCCCTCCCCCAGGGAATGCGGAAACGGGTCACCTGGAGCCAGTGACAGCTTCCAGGAAAACTCTGAGTGAACGGGTGTGTGCGACCTGGAGGCAGGATTCCCCGGGGCCAGGTGGGTGAGGGGCGGACCAAAGGACGGCGGCGAGCCTGGGCCCCTCGGCCGGAGCCCAGACAGCGGGGCGTTGTTGGCCACTCGGAGGTTTGGGTGGGCCCCCAGGGAATTGATACTTGGCCTTTTACCAGCCGTTGAGTTCAGCCCATGCCAAGTCCCTACAGAGGAAGGCGTCACGTTGGGGCCTGCTGGCTGGCGAACACTGCTCTTGAGACTGGAGAAGGGACCCACAGGCAGGCTGTGTACCTCCAGGCTCCTTTCTCCAGCCGGTGCCAGCTCCATCCAGCCCCGGCAGGGGACAGGGCGGGGGCGTGGAGGGGACGCCCGTGGTGCCGACCTCCCCTGCCAGAGCAGCTGTTTCCCCGACCTCAGGTCTCAGAAGTCTCCGGAGACCCCTGGCCTTGGATAATTCCCCAGGCCCAGCCTTTTGAGGCAGGCCTACCTCTTGGCCTCCTCTCTGACCAGGGCCTTGCTGACCACCAGGCTGGGACAGCTTGGTTCCTGCAACCTACAGCTCCTAACAAGGCCAGGCCAGGATTTAACGTTCCCGTAGCTGCTGAGCTTCTGGTGCTTGTGGAAACGATTGTAAGTGGCCCTGACTGTAGCCTCTGAGGTTCAGGTGACTGCCCTCATTCTATACATAAGGAGTCAGGGGCTCACATGTCACTTGCCCAAGGTCACACAGCTTAGGAGTGGCCAGGCCAACCAGGACTAAACACCCAGCCTGCCAGGCTCCGGAGCCGCGCCCTCTCTCAGCCGCATGCACAAGGGCGTCCTGGGGCCTGTGGGGGCATGCCGCACCTGTTTTACCTCCCTTTACTTCTGGGACCCCTCAGCGGGGTGGGAGGAAGTGACTCGGAGTGGCCTGGACATAGGTCAGCCACACCCCCGTGTGGCCCACAGTGGCTGGCTCTGTGCCCTTGGGCACAGGGGACTCTGTGCCCAGGGCTGGCCGTGGTCCCGAGGAAGAGTGCTAGGAATAGAGGGGTCACCCACAGATGTCGCCTGGTGCTGCCTGCTGAGGACACTGTCTCTTCCCTAAACCCTCTCTTCCCCAAAAAGACATACCCTTTCCATGAATACCCACTCCCCACTGCCCTGGTCCTGCCACTGCTGCAGAGCAGGCGTCGGGTCGGGGACCCCACCCTGCATGCCCCCTCACACCCGGGGAGCACGTGTGCGCTGTAGAGCAGGCCGGGACACAGGCCGCATGGCCCGGATGAGCAGACAGCTCTCTGGGCCTCAAGCTTTTCACCACAGAAAAGCGGAGGAGCACGAGGTGCCCCCTCCGCCCCCTCCCTCCCACCACCCTGGGATTGACTCCTCCCGCAGCCCAGGCTCCCTCTGCCTGGAACCAGCGTTGGGTTTGTCGGGGAACTTGCTGGACTCTTGCAGCTTCAGTAGGATTTGCCTCACCACCTCGAGGCGGATTAATTTTTAGCTCCTGCACATTCCCCAAAGATCCCCCTGTTCCTGGAAGCACGCGTGGCCTGGGGGCTCCGTGCTGGGTGCCCCCTGCCCAGGCGGCCTGGCTGGAGGGTAACTCGGCCTCGGGAAGCCTGGGCGTCTTCCCAGTCCTCCTAGGAACCCTGTGAGGACAGCATTTGTATTATGGTTGACTTCTTCCTTTCTCTCTGTAACTTTATCTAAAAAACATAAAAGAAAAAAAATGGTCTTAGAAGGGTTTCTAGTGCGACATTGGGCTTGCCTGGCCAGTGGGCAGTGAGTGGCGGCCCAGGGTGGGGCTGAGAGGCTGCCCTCCAGCCCCGCCCCGGCAGCGCCCCTCACAGGCCCAGTGCACGCCCGGCGCCTTTCCCCAGGGGCACGGGGGCGGGGCCCAGGGGCACGTCTGTGCGGGACGAATGCCAAAACGCTGCTGTCCCAGACTTACTGAAGTGCTCTTAATTTTCTTATAGCTGTCTTGATATTATTTGAATTGCAGGGGAAACTATAAGAAATGGTTTTGAAGTTATAATTAAAATTTCTATTTGCCTTAGGCAAATAATCGTGAGTTGAATGAAAAGGAAGGTGTTAAGGTAGGGACCAGCTAACTGTAACGGAAAAGGCTGACACGGTGAGAGAGAGAGAGAAAGTGAGGGGTGGGTGAGGGGCCTGGCCCTGGCACGCAGGAGCCGGAGGGTGGGTCTCGTGGCTGGGATGTTCCGCGGCAGCCCCTGGCCACCCCAGCCTCACCCTCCCACGTGTCAGGTGGAGGCTGCGAATCCTTCATGCCTACTCTGTACACCTCCCCGAGCTCCCCCAGGGCCGTTGTGAGAGATGAATGGGGGAGTTTGTGGGAGACAGACAGACAGGACGCTTTGTCAAGTGTGCAGAGCCAGGCACACGTGGACTCTGCCCAGTCAGAGGGTAAAAATACACCTTGGATGGCTGTCTTGTTGGGAGGGAGGGACCTGTGTGGGGAGCGCCTGATCCTTTCTACCGCCCTACCTGTGGCTGAGACAAGCCACTTGAGGCCACCCTGGTTGGGACCTGGGCAGGCTGCAAAGAGTTGGGTTCGTTGCTTTGGGATGTCAAGTGAGAGGGGCCCTTTGGTCCCCACCTGCGTACTGTGAGTTGGGTGTCTCCGGGCACAGTGCCCAGCAGAAACTCGGCCTCTGTGTCTTGGTATCCAGTGAGACAACATGAGTCGTCCAGAGGCCACGCTGGACACTTATTCGGGGACGCCGGTCTCACTGGGGGCCCCTCCTCGCCTCCTAGAGCCGGGCTGGCCACTGCGGTGGGGAGAGCGTGGGCATTGGTGACTCACATTCCCGTCCCAGCCCTGCTGCTCATTCCCACGTGGCCCCAGGCAGGCCACTTCTCCTCCACAGAAGGGAAGAGGAGACCCAACTCCCAGGGTTGCAAAGACCGGAAAGAACGCCCGTTTGCAGAGAGGATGAGCGCGCCTGTCAGCTGCAGAGCCGGGCTCCTAGCAGGGCTCGCGTCCTTGCCCGTGGGTCTGGGAAACAGCGCAGGCGCTGCCTATCCAGCTGCTGCGGCTCTCCCGGAGGGCTCCCCCTCCTGCCTGCCTCCTCTTCGGGTGCCCGCCAACTCGGAGAGCATCCTCTGGGCGTGGGAAGTGGGCAGCACGTCGAAGTTGTGGTACTAGGCGAGGTGCCTGGGCTGGTAATATGTCCCTGTAACGTGTGCTCTGCTCCGTGTCACTGTGAGGTTTGAAAACCCGTGACGTGTGGGTTGCAACGCTGATAAAGGGGACCAAGCATGTGGCCAGAGCAGGTGGGACTTCGAGGCAGGCCGGAGGGCTTTTGGCAGGTGCCTTTCTGAGCCTTGATGTCCCCATTAGTAAAGTGGGGATAAGAATCGCTGTCCTAAAGAGCTGTCACAAAGCCCAAATGGGATGATATATCAGCTCTCAGTGCCATCTCCAGAACTTGGTGGCTGCTCAGTAAATGTTAGTTTCCCTTTGTCTCTCCTGGGGTGCAGCTTTGGGCTCGCAGACGAAGAGTTGGCGTGGGGTACAGATCTGATAAAGTCGGGAGCCGTGTGGGACTGGAGTAGCAGCGTCCAGGTGGAGAGGGCTGTGAGCACTAGGGGCGATTTTAATTACACAGCCCCTTGGCCTCCAGTCGGGGGGCCTGGCTGCCTGAGGCCGACTTTATTGGTCCATCTGGTGCTCAACTGGAGCCGTGGCACCGGCAGGAGCCCAGCTCATTAATTACTGCCTCTTCGCAGCCCAGCATGTCCGGTGGGGACAGACCCCGGGGCTGCCTGCTTACCACCGCTGCGCACATGTGGGCGGGCACAGCCAGGCCTGTCACTGCCCCCTTCCTCCCAGGCCGCTGATTCCGACCTTGTCTGAGACACTTGGAGGCGTTTCACAGCCCTCGTTACTATTACCCTTCTTGCAGTTTTGGGGCTGCAGGAAGCACCTTCATGGGGGGCCCTGCCAGCGCTAGCCAAGGAGCCCACACAGGAGGCTTGGGAACAGGTTCAGACGATTTTAACCGAAGGTGCAGCACCGGGCAGTGTGCTAGGCCCCAGGGCCCAGCCCAGCTCAGAACTGGGAGGCCTGGTGGTCTTGCTCCCCTGCATGGCTGTGGTCGGGCCAGGGCAGAGCCCCCTCCCAGGTGGGCATCACATCCTGTGGCCAGGATTTGGTCATTGAGGTCCTGCTGTGACACAGTGATCCTGTGAGATGTCATTGACGTCCCCAGCGTACAGTGGAGGTTCTGAGAGGTTACGGGGTGTGTCCAGCGTTGTGGATGGTGGGTCGTGTCATGTGTCATGCTGCGCACACATCCCTGTACCGTGCTGTGGCCAGCCCTGCTAGGACAGGGTCCTTGTTCTTGGTGGCCATTCATTGTGGCTGGGCCCTGAACTCCATCACCAAGAAGCCTTCTCCCAAGATATTTGGCTTGCTGTGCAACTTTGTGATGGGGACCCTGATGAGCTGCCCGGGTCCCCTGAACCATGTGGGTGTCCCGGCTGTGGCCCTTCTCCATGGGTGGCTGTCCCTGGGGGCTCCGGCTCCTCGCCGGGCTCTCATGAGGCGGGCAGTGTGAGAGGCCCCGCGACGAGTCACCTGGCAGGCGTCCTGAGACCTGGGGTCTCAGGGTCCCTGCACTCCATCCCCCGTCGTCATTAGGTGGGCGTCATCATTAGTAACGTGTCCTCGTCAATGTCCTTGCCATTTGACGACAAATGCTGAGCCCCAGGGAGCCAACCTCACTCATCCTGTGTCCCTCTGTCTTTCCCAGGGCTGCGAGGTGCCAGGCCCCACCTTTGCGGATGGTGAGCCCTTCCCCCGGGAGCCCGGCTTCTTTCCTGAGGATGAGGAGGAGGCTATGACACTGGCCCCGCCTGAGGGACCCCCGGAGTTAGACACGGACAGCCCCATGGAGAGCGCCCAGAGCCTGGAGGGGTCAGTCGGGAGTCCTGCCGAGGAGAAGGACAGGGGCCTCGGGGGCCTCTTCCTGCCAGAGGACAAGTGAGTTCCAGCCGCCTGGGGTTCCCCGTGAGGCCCCTGGGCCGGAGGCACAGCTCTCGGTGGGGTCTGCTGGAAGTAAAACATGAGGTGCGCTCTGGGTCTGCGTCACGGGCCGAAGTTTCTCGGCTGTTCTCGATAGCCAAAAATTCTAAGCAACCGAATGCTAAACAACAGGGCTAGTTCTGGAATGTTAGGCAGCCGTGCAAAGTCAGGTTTACTTGACTATTTAATGATATGGGATATATGATCTCAGGTAGTTTTTAAAAGACAAGTCATAAAGATGTCAATGAGGTATGACCTTAGTTTGTTTAAAACAAATAAATAAATTTAAAATAAGTGTGTGTGTGTGTGTGTGCGCATGCATGTGCCTAGGAAAAATGGTTCCAGAAAATTAGCAATTCTTTCAGAGTATGGGATTGATCATTTTAATTTCCTCACATCTGCTGTGCTGTATATGCTATATTTTAGTTATTGCTTTTGCGTTCTCATAACCAGAAATGTTATTTAAAAACAGTATTAGGACCTAGTGACTTCCCAGTGGGGCAGTGTCGTCTCTCAGTTGGTGTTGGCAGAGGGAGCCCCCCGCCAGCCCTCACTCCACCTCTGGAGGGATGACAGTGTTTGGGGTGGGGCAGGGGGCAGCAGCCACTGTCACAGCTGAGGAGGCCGTGACAGCCGGGCGTTAGCATCCCACGTGCCAGGAGAAGGTAAATGGTCAGAGGTGACCCAGAGATTTGGAGAGGCAGGGGAGGGGTTCTCATATCAACTGAACCATAGGAAACTGTCAATTTTTGATAATTTGCAACCTTTACAAAAAGGCAGTTTCATATGGTTCAACCTAGTATGTTTTCCCAGCACAGGGGTGCTCAGACGCGGGGGCTCGGAGTTCTCCGTGGTCCCTGTGTTCATCCGCGTGCTTCCTGGGAGAGGCCCATCGGCTGTATGTGACCAGCCAACCAACTGCAGACCTGTTGGCCTTTTGGCTGATCATTTGCCACTTGATTGTTCCCATTGATTTCTGGGACCATCCCTCAGCAGGAGGCAGCCAGCAGCAGGTGCCTGGAGTTGTAGTAAAAATCAAAGGAGAAGGAAGCCAGCGAGTGGAGGCGCTAAGGACCCTGAGGGCAGATAGATAATAAATGGTTGGGTGGAGGTACTGGTTGACTTTATTTTTAGCACCTTGTCATTAACACTGTGATTCTTAGATAGAACCTGAGGTTCCTCAGGGGCCCAGTTTGAGAATCACTGCCTGAACCTATTTGACAAACTTTTTCTAGGTGTCCAATTGGGGAGGCTTAGGAAGTTGAAGCAACCCTAACTAATGGGCAACGATGCCCAGGAATTACTGTGTGAGGACTAACGGGAGGAAGTATCTTGGCAGGGGACGAGGTGCACTTCTGTGTGTCCGTAGGTTGCAGACTGGGCCCACCCAGCTCTGTGCTGCTGCAGGGCCCACGCGCTCAGCTGTGAGAGGTGTGGGGCCTCCGACCCGTGGTCTTTGGACTAGAAATCCCCTCTATAAACTGGGAGAAGCATCGCTCCTAGTAGCTCTTTGTTATTTATTTTAAACCTTCATTTCATGATTGAAGAAGTACAAGCCAATGAAATAGAGTTGAAAAAGTTGGGAAAGTGAGAATAGAGGGGAAATAACCAACTTGGTTCATAGTCCCTCCACCAAAGCCAAGCTCTGTTACCACGTAAATGTTTTTATTTCCAACTTTTCCTTGTACTGTATAGACCTTTATCATGCTTAGTCCTAACCGTATCTAGAATTTTATATGCAACTTTAATATCTAATATTAATTTTCCCTTTGCCAATATTTTTATAAACCTTTCAACAATGATTTGATAGTCTACAATGTAATAATATAGGGAGTGTAATTTAAGGCAGCTGTAGGTGGATGTTCGGTCATAAGCAGTGTTTGTACTGCTCTGGAGGAGCAGTGGTTTGAATGTCTCTTGGGCAGAGACAGTTTCTGTGGTGAGGTATTTCCCTGAGGACAAGGTTCCGGAAGTATACCTACCACGCCACATGGCACAGACTTAATCAGGCATCTGTAGTACCAGCGGACCTCTTGGTGGGACTGTAGGGGTCCCCACCCCAGGCCGTGGCCTCGTTAATGGGCAGCCCTTGTCTCACACCAGGTCCCTGGGCCACACGCCATCCATGACAACGTCAGACCTCTCCACACACTCCACTGCCTCGCTCGTCAGCCACGAGGAGCAGTTTGAAGACTACGGGGAGGGGGAGGACGTGGACTGCGCCCCCAGCAGCCCCTGCCCCGACGACGAGGCCAGGACCAACGTCTACTCGGACCTGGGGTCTTCAGTGTCTTCCAGGTGGCCGCTCGGTCTGCAATGGCGTTTGGGGTCCAGGAAAAGTAGCAGAATGAACCCAGCCTCATCCCCGGGCGGTTTAGTGGGCAGAGCCCTGAGCTACGTAGGTTCTGTCCCTGGGGCTTGGGCGTCTGGAAATCCCCGCCCCCCATCTTGGGGAATAAATAGAATTAACCAACCTGGGAGGCTGTAGGGGGCGGGGGTCTTTGTTGTCTTGTTTTCTAGCACCTCAGTGCTAGAGGGGTCTTCCAGGTGGCATACGCCTGAGTCTTTACTTACTCTGATATGAGCTCTCAGTTGCCCTATCTGCGAAATGGGTGCAACTCATTGGCTTCTTCTCTTTGAGAGCCTTGGAGGAGGAGAGATCTGGTGCTGTCCTTCTACTCCCCTGCCCGCAACCACACACACACCAGGTCCCCAGGTACCGGGGGAACCAGTAACGGAAGCTCGGTGGGGAGGGGTGGCCCCTGGACAGCCGTTAAAGGAGTTGTCTTCTCTGTCCTGCCCCAGTGCGGGGCAGACACCCAGAAAAATGCGGCACGCGTACAACAGCGAATTGCTGGATGTTTACTGCTCCCAGTGCTGCAAGAAAATCAACCTGCTGAATGACTTGGAAGCCCGACTGAAAAACTTGAAGGCCAACAGGTGAGGCCCCCGCGCAGCATGGGGCTGGTGGCCGGGGGCAGCGGGCCAAAGGGGAAGCAGCCGGCAGGGGGGCCCCAGGCTGTCTTGGCAGGAGAGGGCGCTCGGAATGGGGTTGATCCTCAGGGCCTGCGTATTTTTGCAACAGGAAAATCTGGATGACGTCCCTTTGGTGGACTAGAAAAAGGCTCACCCTGCACTTGAGAGTCTCACAGCCAGGGCAGAGCAAGGAGTAGCCTGGAGTCTCACTGTTCAATGACCATTTCTCCCATCTCTCTCCCTCTCTCTCTCTGTAGCCCCAACCGAAAGATCTCTAGCACGGCATTTGGACGGTAAGCCTCCCTCAGGGGAGGACAGATTGATTTCTGTCCCCTTTACCTGCTCCTGCTGCCAGGGCGGCCAGCCCCATGCCAGCAGCCCCGACCCAGGCGGTGCCCTGCGCCCTGTGTGTGGCTTGGTGAGCGGAGTGGAGCGAGGTCTGCTGGGGCAGAGCCGGCAGAGGAGACACTTCTGAAAAGGAAGGGCCCGTCTCCTCTCTGTCCCCACCCCTTCCCCCTTCTGGCAGCAGTCTCAGCCTCAGGCAGGCACACCGGGGCCCTGGGGACACAGCCCACCTCCCCCGTGTCAGTGCCCTGCCCTGTGCCCTGGAGCCGGCAGCAGCACCGACAGAGCCCCTGGGCTTCCTGCTGGCGGGGGGCGGGGGGGCGGGCACGGCGGGGTTGCTCCACGTTAAATCCATGGAGCCAACGCCCAGCGGCTGCTCGGACCTGGCTCTGGCTCTCCTGCACGCTGGCCCCGCATCTGCACTCGGCTCTGGGAGCTGCTGTGGAGCACCAGCACCCACCGGCCCACTGCCCAGTTCAGTCTGGGCGGGTCTGCCTCTCTCTGCCCTCCCCTAGGGTCCCCAGAGATGTAGCAGGGGCACTGAACCCTACTTACAGAGCGGCCTCCAGGGGCCCAGACCTTCTGCTGGGACTGCGGAGCCAGGCTGCAGCCACTGGGTGGTTTTCCAGCTTTCCCAGCGGGAAGGGGCGGGGGGGCTTATCCACCAGCTCAGCCCCTTGGTAGGTACTGGCTGGAACACCTGCGTGCAAAGAGTTCTGAAGCAGCAGTAAAGAGCTGTGATGGGCTGACCATGGTTGCCAGGGGCTCCGAGGGGCATAGCAGCCCGCCTGCCACCCCCTGAGTTGGAGGATCTCGTGAGTTCAGAGGTCAGGGAACTCTGCTCCCCTGGCTGGATGAGGGCAGCCTCCCTAGCGGGGTGCTGGGTGCTCTCCAGGCCACGACCTGAGTCTGGACCCCAGTCTCCTGAGGGCCTCTGCAGCCGATGCACTTCCCTTCCCCCCACAGGCAGCTCATGCACAGCAGCAACTTCAGCAGCAGTAACGGCAGCACGGAGGACCTGTTCCGGGACAGCATTGACTCCTGTGACAATGACATCACGGAGAAGGTGGGCCCTGCGTGGAAGAGGCACTTACTGTGTGCATGCTCCCAGGGGTGCCGGGGGGCGGCAGGGAGCACTCCGGGGTGCTTTCTGGGGACCTGGGAGACCCTGTCCCTGCCCAGGATCACATGGGCACATCCGTCCCCACCCCCATCCTCAGTCCCACCAAAGACACCTGTGCTCTGCATACACAGTCAGTGGGAGGGCCTGCCCATTGGTCCCACGGCTTCCAGGTTCTCCGTCCTGGGGCCTCCAGGGTCTTACCCACCCCCACCTCTGCCCCCCCTACTGTAGGTAAGCTTTCTGGAAAAAAAGGTGACAGAACTGGAGAATGACAGCCTGACCAACGGGGACCTGAAGAGCAAACTGAAGCAGGAGAACACCCAGCTGGTGCACAGGTCAGGGGCCATCGCCTTGGCTTCGGCGGTGTTGGCTGTGACTCTGGGGAACATAGGGTTGTCCCTGTTGCCGAGACCCCCGCGAGGAGCTGGGGCAGGCAACCTGCTCACCCAGCTCCAAGGGCCTGTGAGGCACCAGCCCCTTGCTTCCTGGTTCTGCCCATTCAGGGGGCCCAGGAGGGCCGGTCTTTGGGGACAGGGAGACAGGTGGAGCCTGACCTTGATCCCCCAGGTCTGCAGCCCCAGGGCATGTCTAAGGCCGGAGCTGGGATCTACTCTCCTACCTCTCTCTCCCACGGCGATGAGAGCCTGACCTCCCTTCCCGGGGACAGTCTCTGCAGAGGGAGAGGCTGCTGTCAGCTGGGGCCCTGCCTGCTGCTGGTGGGAGAAGTCCCAGGATTGCTGCTCCGCCCCCAATGGAGGCCCGCCGAACACGGGGTCCCCAGGGCTTCCCGTGATTCGTTGGCGCGGACAGCATTGAGTTGTCCTGATGTGACAGCCTGAGACTTGTGCCCCCGCAGAAGTTCGGCCTCATGGAGGGACCGTTGCCAGTGAAACACGCCCCAGCTGGACGTCCCACCCAGGCCACCAGTCGTGGGGCTATAACATCCGTAGCGGGGCCTGGCTCTCTCCCAGGTCTGGCCGGCTCAGGGACACCAGCCAGTCCGGGTGCCCGAAAGCTGAATCGTTCCCTAGGAGGAACTGGCTAGGAAGGAAGAGAGCAGAAAGAGGAGAGGAGCGCGGAGGGCCATTTCAGGGAGCTGTGGCGAAGCCTGTCACCCCCTTGCCTCCCCAGAGTCCTGCCTGCTGAGGCACAGCCTCGCTTTCGCTGGGCCCACTGCCAGGCCTGCCCCTCCGCGGCCTATGTGGCGACACACCTCTCCTTAGGTGCTGTGGTGTCCCTAGCTCATCTGTCTGCAAAGCTGCGGCCCCCGGGCTTGACAAACACACCGCCACCTCCCATAGTGCGGGAGTGTGACTTGGGGACCCGAGCTCCCCACAGCCACAGCCTGGGTTGCGGCGAGAGGACACAGGCCATGAGAGTTCACCCTGGACTCTCCACAGAGTGCACGAGCTGGAGGAGATGGTGAAGGACCAGGAGACCACGGCCGAGCAGGCCCTGGAGGAGGAGGCGCGGCGACACCGGGAGGCCTACGGCAAGCTGGAGAGGGAGAAGAGCACCGAGATCGAGCTGCTACACACCAGGTGGGCCGGCGGGAGCGTGCGGTGCGGCGCCGGCGCCTTTCCCCAGAGCCTATCTCTGACACACCCTCACGCTCTTGGGACGCCCCATGGCACAGGTGTCGCTGTCCCCACTTTATAAGTGCGAAAAGTGAGCCAGAGGCAAAGCCTTGTGTCCTAACGATTCTCCGTTTGATACCTGAACACATGGACATGTTCTCTAGGGAGCGTGTACAAGAATGTTTACAGTTGCATTGTTCGTATCAGGTAGAACAGAAAACCACACACATATCTATCAACAAAAGAATGGGTAAAAAACCCAAAGACCCAGTGGCGGTGCCCCCGTTCCTGGGCTGGGCCCGATGTCCAGGCTTGGAGCTCCCCCTGCTGTCAGGTTCTTTCCTGACCCTGGGCCCCAAGAGCCAGGGTGAATGGAAAAGCGAGGCGGTTGAAGGGCTCCTGGGCCTCTGGTACAGACGCCAGACCCCGAGGCAGACAGGGAGAGCAGTGCCGCCACGGGATGCTCGGTCACCCACCAGTGCCATGAGCTTGAACATACTGTGTCACTCCCCCGGCCTCAGTGTCCCCATCTGTCCTCCCTCCCGGCGACGGTGAGGGTGGGGAGCTGATGGACATGGGAACACTGCTGACAGGCGAGGACTGTGATGATGGCCCAAGGCTGCCCTCACCACTACCCAGGCGGAGAGGACAGCTGCCCCCGCGCCCCTCAGGCCCCAGGGTCTGCGCTGAGCTGGGGCGGAGGGTGGGCTGAGAGGTGGGCTCCCACCTGCTCCTCATGGCTGGAAGCAGGTGCTCCCAAGGGAACTCGTGCACCTGGTGCCCCTCTGCACTCAGTGAGGGTCCCTCCTAACTCCCCTGTGCCCGAGACCTGCTTTGTTAGCTTTATCGACCAGTGGTTCGTTTATGTTTTCACTCACATTCTAGAATTGTGTCTGCTTCTGAGGGTTGATACCTCACTAAGCGTCACTGTTCTCTGTCCACGTCTGATATAGCTGGCCAGGTTGGCTGGCCTGAGAGAGGTGTCTGGGAACAGGTGGTGGAGGAAGACAGCGCGGGCCAAAGGCCAAAGCACAGAAAGTGAGCCCGCTTAGGAACTGTCTCCTCACCCATGCCCCTTGCACAACTCCAGGGGGCGCTGTTCACATAGAATATGCAGCCAGTGTTCCCAGAGTCACGTGATGTGCTTTGTTCCTCACATCCTCCACCATCTCAAGTTCATGAGGTGGCCTCGTCAGACTGCACGTCTGAATGCCTCTCTGGGGGCCTCCCCTGCGGAGCCCCAAGGGCCGCGGAGGCAATGGGAGGGAGGAGGAATGCTGCGCAAGAATCGGTGTTGGAAATGGCCCTGCACAGCTCTGGTGCCACAGGCATCCCAGCTCACCGGCCCCTCTTCTCAGGACATTGAAAACCTCCCTTGGCTCCTGGGCTGCCTGCCTTTTCAAGGGCTCGCAGTAGGACAGTCCCTGGTGAACGCTAACGTAGAGGACTGTGACTGTTGGGACCAGCTCCTGTGGGTGTCAGAGGCAGCTGTAGTGAACGCCTGGAGGGAAAAGCCCTGGGCGAGATGTTGGGGAGAGAATGGAAGACACAGACGGTCCTGGCCTTCAGATCGCAGATTGCAGCGGGAGGACCCTGTCACAGCCAGCCCCAGGGCCTCTCCCCCGCCCAAGCCCGTAGGAGAAAAACATGCCCCTCTTTTGTTTCAGGCTGTAAGGCTGCCTGCAAAAAGAATCTGTGCTCTTATTCACACATGACTGTTTGCTTTAATCAAGAAAAATAAGAATGGTAATTCGGTGTCTTTACCATTTTCCTTTGGATGACAGGAAGCTCAGGACTGTATCATATCACTTGGAGTTAGGTGTGTTTTCTCTCTTGCTGTCTGGTATCTTCCCTCCCCCAGGGAGCAGAGGATCACCACGGATTGTAAGATGACCTCCATTTCTGACGCTTTTGTCCTCCTGCTTTCCCCAGGGTGCAGCAATTAGAGGAGGAAAACACAGAGCTTAGAACAACAGTGACTCGGCTCAAGTCACAAACGGAGAAGCTGGATGAGGTGAGCGGCCGGCCAGGCATCTCTCAGACTTGGATCTTGAGCCCAACCTGCAGGGAGGCATGCTGGCCATCAGAGGCCGTCGGTGTGTAGCTTCTGAAAGCCTAATAAAATTGCCCTAGGAATACAAGGCAACAAAACATGAGTAGTAATTTATCTTTCTGGATTTCTGATTTTCCATATTTTCTACAGTAAGATATATTTCCTTATATAATGGGGGAAATAATAAAAAAGGGAAAAGCGTTAGCTTCTGTCTGGGCTGCTGCCTTCCAGCCCAGTCTCAGCCGGCATCATTGAAGGACTCCAGGGCCCTGAGATTTTTATAGCTGTGTTTCTAGAGTCCTAGGGGATCTGGGCATTTCTTTAAGCTGTGACAGAGGGCTCTGTCCAGGGGGCTGGTCGGATGGCCCATTTGTTGAGGGGGTGACACAGACCCTCAGGGAAGTCCCTCTGGAACCCTCCCCCGCGGACCTGGTCTCCTTGGCTCCAGGAGCGGCAGCGCATGTCCGACCGGCTGGAGGACACCAGCCTGCGGCTCAAGGATGAGATGGACCTATACAAGCGCATGATGGACAAGCTGCGGCAGAACCGCCTTGAGTTCCAAAAGGAACGGGAGGCGACACAGGAGGTAGGTCCCAGGCCAAGAGCTCCAGGGTTCCCTCCTGTGTCCCCGCTCCTGCCAACCGGCCCCTCTCCCACGCAGCTCATCGAAGACTTGCGGAAGGAGCTGGAGCACCTGCAGATGTACAAGCTGGACTGCGAGCGGCCAGGCAGGGGCCGCAGCTCATCCTCCGGCCTGGGCGAGTTCAATGCCAGGGCCCGTGAAGTGGAGCTGGAGCATGAGATCAAGCGGCTCAAGCAGGTGGGCCCTGGGGGCCCCTGTCTGGCACGGTCAGGTGTCCACGTCCCTGCAAGTGGGTTTCCTGGGAGAGGGCTGAGAGCCGTAGCGCTGTCCCACACATGCGTTGCTAGTCTGCTCCCCTTGACAGCCTGGTTGTCAGGCTGTTCGTCCGCATCGCCCAGCCCAGGCATGGCGGCCTCCCTCTAGGCTATGGCCGATGGAAGTTTCCAGGTCTTTGGCATCTATGAAAAGAAACAGAGATGACTCTTTTGTCCTGGACGTGTAGGGTGGAGAAAGAGACTCCACCAAGCCTAAAATTAGTGCCTCCCTATGCTGGAGTCTCCCAGCAGACCCTGAGCCCAAGGTTCCATTTCAGATGGTTCCTGGGAGCACTCCCAGAACTGGAGACCAGTCAGGGGTGGGGAAGTGGGGTCAGGAGGGGCAGTGACCCAGTGAGGGAGCGGTGGTTGCTGAAGGCGCACGCTTCGCCTGGCCCAGGGGTCAGGAGACTGCTATATAAGTCACACCCCTGAATTGGCTGCACCAAGGCACAGATGCTGGTGTTCACCCTCCCACAGCAATCCTAAAACACGGCTCTTCTCCGCATCCACGATGGGGCGCCCAAGGCCCCAGGTGTGAGCCATCAGGAGCCTTTAGACAAAAGTTAGAGATGGGGCGGTCAAGGGGCCTGAGCAGGGCCCCGTGGGCGGCCTCCTGGGGAGTGCGGGTGCGCCTGGGAAGACCCCCTGCGGCAGGATTCCCGGGCCCGGCTGCAGGAGGAGCCAAGGAGATGGGCCGGCCCACCGGCCCTGAGACCCCAGGGCACTGCTTTTTCTCACCGGGTGGGCAGCCACCCGGCACAGGGCCTCAGGGGACCGACTCAGGCTCAGCCACCCCCAGGGAGGACCGTAGCCAGAAATCACACTCCTGCTTGGAAACTTGGCTTCCCCGAGCGGGGCTGTGACTTCTAAGAAGCCCGTGACCTCCCAGGACCCAGCCCTCCCCCGCCCCAAGCCTGGCAGAGGCCACATCATCCATGGGTGCCCTGACATGACACACACCTGAGGGGAGGGGTACTGGTGGGAGTCGGGAGACAGCGGGTGCAGACAAGCGGGTTCCGGTGGGTCCTGGGTGCTTCTGGGAGCTGATGTTGCCTTTGGTCCACTCACAGGAGAATCATAAGCTGCGGGATCAGAATGATGACCTGAACGGACAGATCTTGAGCCTCAGCCTCTATGAAGCAAAGAACCTCTTTGCCACCCAGACCAAAGCCCAGTCTCTGGCTGCGGAAATAGACACAGCCTCGCGCGATGAGGTAGGGTGGCCATTTGCTCTTGCTCCCGCTTTGGGGCCTGGCCCTCCTGAGTCCAGCCCCATCCCCACCGGCCTCGATGTTGAGCCCCAGGCTGCCCAGCCCAGGAAAAGCAGACCCGGGCCTGGTCCCTGCAAGTCCCCATCTGCACCTACCCTGAGTGGCAGAGCAGAGCTGGGGCGGGGGGTGGGTGAGGGAGGGAGTTAAATCAACTCTGACTTCCTGCATGTGGTGGGAGGAGCTCCTGTCTGGGAGCAGATAGAGCTTGAGTGTTAGCTCAGCCAGCACTGTGCTGATGTGGCCAGTTGATTCGTTAACGTGTAGTCCAGGGGAGTCTGTGACTCCCTCTTCCCAGCCAAGAGGAGAGAAACACTAGCATTTTTTAGCACCTGCTGGCAGTACGTTTTCACTTAATCTTCTCATAGCTGGGAGGCTGTCTGAACTGATTGGGAGACCAGGACACAAGGTCACTGAGCCTGTGGAGGGAGGAAGACCCAGGCCTCTAGCACCAAAGCCCCCTCTCTCTGCCTCACCAGGGTATGGTTATAATAGTTCAGGCTTCCAAAATACTTTGGTTGCATTTTAACGTGAATCTAGGACAGTCATAACCCTGTGCTTGGGACACGGAGCTAACCTGACCCCTGGCCTCTCAGAGCTCCCACGTGCGCCAGGGGCAGATGCAGCATTTCAGTGACATCCTAAAGGACTGGTCAGGGGTTGACCTGGAGGGGGCGATGGCAGGGCCAGCGGTGGTGAGGGGGCCGTTCCAGGCAGAGGAAACAGCCTTACGGGTCTTAGGACCCTGGAACTTTGGATGTCGGTCTTGATTACAGATGCCTTTGGCCAGTTGGTGGCCAGTTACCAAAAACTTACCCACTTGTGTCCCTCCAAAGACGAGTTAAATCAGAACCTCAGGGACAGGGCACCTGCGTAGCTCACATGACTCCAGTGTGAGCTGAGCCGGGCTTTAGACTCGGGCACTGGCTCACTGTGAGCCCGGGGTCCTGGGCCCCACCCAGTCGGTCTCTGACTACCTGTCCTACCACCATCAGCTCATGGAAGCCCTCAAGGAGCAGGAGGAGATCAACTTCCGGCTGCGCCAGTACATGGACAAGATCATCCTCGCCATCCTGGACCACAACCCCTCCATCCTCGAGATCAAACACTGAGAAGGGGAGCTGGCTGCAGAGCGGCCTCAGGACCCCAGGACCAAAAGGCAGACCCTCCCGGGGGATACGGCCCCGGCTGGGCCTCACGCACACACTGTAAATGTCTCTCTGGCCACCATGTAGTGTGTCGTGGTGTGGATGTGGGGAGGCCGTGCACACAGCAAGGAGTTGGCGTGGGGCCGTGGCTGGGGATGACATGTGCGCAGTTAGCTGTTCATGCACTTTGTGGTCCCTTTGCAGGGGCAGAGGGTCCTGGGGGTTGCAGGGGACAAGGTCTGCAATCAGGAGTCACTGTAATAACAAGAACTGGAAACGTGTGTTTCTGATACTGGACAAAATGATTCTACCTCTGGGGATGAGGGTTAAGAAACACTCTAGGAGACAGGCTCTTTTCCTCCACTGCATCCCCCCGGGAGTAGGAGTAAATGTACGATTTTTTCCAGGAGTTCGATTGCCCAACAGCTCTGTCCTCGCCAGCCTCTTCGGCCACCTTTGAAGTCCAGGTGCTCGAACTCAGAGAGGGGGAAGGGCCGTTCAGGAGGAACACGAGGGGGCCCTCACCAGCCCCCTCCCCGGCTGGCAGCCCCTGTGATGCTTGCACCCAGGGTGTCCGAGGGACCCAAGCTTGTGAAGAGCCACCTTCGTTCTGGGAGTTCTCAGCATTTTTAGAGCGCCTGGCACCCAGGCCCATCCCTGCTTATCTACCTCTCCCTTCCCATTTTGTTTTGCTTGTAAGACAATGAGAAATAAGCAGCATTCACTGGGCTGTAAAGGGAAGGGATTATGAGGAAGGAGAAGGAGGTGGAGGGACTGGTGTTTAAGGCAGGGGTCGGCCTCGGACAGCCGGCTCGCCTGCCCGTCAGTGTCCTTCCCCGGCCGCTGTGTTGTATGAGGGGCCAGGATGGGCCTTGGAGCTGCATCTAGGGGCTGGGCGTGGGCCTTGCTGTCTCGTGCCTGCTCCCTGCACAGCCTGGCGACAGCAGGCCTCGGGCTCCGAACCAGGGCTCCGGTCTGCGCTGGGCTGGTGGGGGGCCCAGGTGGGGGAGTTTCAGGGAAACCTTAGTCTTCCATCCTCGTGACACGTGTGGGAATCCACACTCTGGATTGTTAATGCAGTTTTTTTGTTCCAGGCATCTGGGAGTGGATATGGTACTTTCCTTTGAGGTTTTCCAGTGTTTCTCAATTTTATATGGCTGATGCATTTCCTTAATCCAAATATACATAAAAATGTATGGTCTTTATTTTTTTCCCCCTGCAGTTTGCTTTTGTTAGCACTTCTAGTGTAAAGGGGGAAAGTTTGGGCATGTTGGGGAGGGAATAGAGGGGACTGCGTGGAAAAGACAGAGCAGTAAAGGGCGGGGGAGGGCGCCTGGGGACTTGGGTATGTCCCCTGCTCACAGTGGCAGGGCTGTGGCCAAGGCCGACCTTCCATTCCAGTCAGCTTTTGCTTTTGCTGGATGCTGTGGTTTCTTTTTAGGTGTACATACGGGGTCTGCGTTTATGCTGCAGACGGACTGCATGGGTCGGACCCAGGAGCTCAGGGCCGCCCGCACCAGGAAGACCAGGGCAGGGGTCAGTCCTCTGGGAGTTACTCATCCCCTGATGACCCTGGTCGCCTTGGGCTCCCCCAAGGGTCTGAGAAGTGGCAGTGGAAAGAAGGCATAACCAGTGGGTCTCTGGCGGCCTGGCTTCAGCCTGGGCTTCCCTGAGGAATGAGTCCCGCAGAGAGGCCAGCCAGACGACCATCCGGGTGTGCTGGGGGCGTGCCAGAGACGAGCATTTCACCTGCGCCACTACGTGCTCTTTAGCCACATTGGTGTGGAATTCCCGGGGAAGCTGCAGAGAGGCCTGAGCTGTATGCAGTCACACAACATGGGAGGGAACCTCTGCTGATGGGAAAGGGGCAGAAGGAGCTGTCGGCCCGCAGCGTTCTGCAGCGCTGCGAACGCTCCCAGCGAGCACCCGGTCTGAAGGGCCCTCGGGACCCAGGGTAGGCCTTGGGGGTCTCTGGAAGAGGGGGCACTTTACATGAGACAGAATTCCACACCTGAAGTTAAATCCAGCCATCTGACATCAGCCAGAACATCTCATGTAAAACTTAGTGCAATTGGCTTTTTAAAATCACACTTTAAAAAAATGCTCTTCTGTGCTGGCGAGCTAGCCTGAGGAGGGAAGGCAGACACCCCCGGGGCCCCGCCCCCAGTCCCTGGGCAGCTGCCAGAGCTGCACTAGCTCTGGGCACAATGGGGCAGGCCCTGTTCTGCATTTTCTCCTCCCTCGTTTGTTCTCAGGGCGAGAGCTCTTCTCTCTCAGCACCCAGGCTGTTAGCTAGCATGCGGGATGCCCAGTTGAGTTTGAACTTCAGGTCAATGACAAATAATTTTTAGTAGGAGTATATTCCGTGCAATACTTGGTACATACTTAAAATGGAGAGAACTTTGAAATCCTGATAACCTGGGCCAAATCCCCAGAGGTTCTGATTTCATTGGAGCAGGTGGGGCCCAGGCATCAGGTCAGAATTTCCCAGGTGATTGTGATTTGTTGTAATTTAACTGGGTGTCCTGTGTGGGTTTTGCTTTTTGTTTTTGCCAAACAGAAGTAGGGGTTAGCACTCCCTTGTCTGAAGTATAGGAGTGGGGGCGGGGCCGCCTGGGACAGACTTGCAACTGCATGGACACTGGGCTGTCCTTGCGTTCAAGTCAAAGCCAAACAAAATTTGCTGAACCTGCAAGTTAGTTTTATATACAGCGTCTAATAGAAAAGGAAGCACTCTCTGGTTCAGGTAGGCCTTGTTCTGTGGGAAAGTATAAGACATACAGTTCTTGTAAAGAAAAAAAATTTTTTTTAACTTTGAATTGGTCAACATTAGACAAGGTATTTACTTTAAATAGGTTAGATTCTTTGCAAATTGTAGGAGGGAAATTCCTTTAGCTTAACTTTATTTCTGACCTATTAAAAACACAAAGCTCGAGAACTTTCCAAAGCCCTTGGACCTGAAACAGTGGTTCTCAGCTCTGCCTGTGCGTTGGAATCACGTGGGGAGGTTTTAAAAATTTTGCTGACTGGGCTGACCGCCCCCTCCCCCTGACTACCCCCTCCCCCTCCCCAGGTTGGGATTTAATTGGCGTGGGCGTGGCGCAGGCATCTAGATGTTTAAAGGGCTGCCCAGGTGAGGCCGCTCTGCAGCCCGGGTTGGGGCCCTGGCCGGGAAGGTTGTGTGCTGGCCAGAGGTAGAGAAAACGGGCCAGGGTGGCTGCTGGGCTTGTTAATCCAGGTGCTGGTAACAGCGAGTTTTCCCCCTGGGTTGTTAGTGGCTTTTTCTCACGAGATGTCAGGCCATGAGAGGGTTGCACATCCCTGGGCCCCAGGATGGGAGGCCAGATGCCTTCAGGAGCTGGCAGATCCAGCTGTCGTCACCAGCTCAGGGGTTAGTATTTCTGAGTGGGCAGGTCCGGCGGGTGCCCACACAGTCAGTAGGTGGCACATGCTGATGGTGGGAGTGGGGCAGAGTGCGGTAGGGAGCTGACGAGCAGTCCCAGGAACGGCAGTCACCTGCTCCCCCAGCTGAGCCGGAGGGGATGTGGCTTTGTGGGTTCTGCCTCCGATCTGTTCCGGCCGGGGTGGATGAGGGGTGTCCCAGCGCCTCCCCTGCCAGCAGCCAAACGAACTCCCGGCCCACAGCCAGGAGGCTCCAGGCGCTACTACACTGGCAAGTCTGCTTCCTGGCCCATTCAGGGCCTGGTAGTCAGGAGGGCGCAGTGTGGGCTCTCTTGTTGCCTTGAGGGACTTCGTAACCGACAGAGGCCTGCAGGGACAAGTAGGGCCTGTGGATCAGGGAGAAATTAGTCTCTTTTTGTGCTCCATGAGTATGTGTTTAATGCATTAGCAAATTTAAACCGAAGAGGTAATTTTAGGTGTGATTGGAACGGGGGACGTTTTGGATGGTCACCATGCCAAGGAAATGACTTTGTTGTCCTGGTATATCTACAGTGTCTCTTTTAAAGGTCTGAGGTGGGTTTTAGATCGAGGAGAGGAGCTGCTCAGTGCAGCCACCTGCCCAGCCTGCCTTGCTGTGGAGCTGGGGCCGCCCCCCTCGCCCTCTGATTCAGACTGGGGAGACTGAGGCTTGCTGTGGAGGGGCCTCTAGCTGGGGGGCCACGCCCTCCCTGGTCCCTTTGAGCAAGTCCCTTCCCTTCGCTGACCTTATGGCCCTCCGGGTCCTGCTCTCTTGCTGTCAGAGAGTGTGCAAGAAAGGGCAAGGAGCAGGAGAGGCTGGCCCCGCCTTCTGGCGGGACAGCTCCGAGGCTGCTGCCCACCTGGAGGAGTGGACTGCGTTCTAGAAACGTTCGCTTCTAAAAGTGTCAACCCAAAGCATGATGCTACATGATTTTGATGCTCTGGCCTCGTGCTTCTCTTTCCATTGTGACTGTCACGGAGGGATGTCTGCCCTGAGCCACCAGAGGGGCTGGGAATGGCACCTCAGGGCCACCGCTGCAGGGCCTAAGTGCTGTTGTCCCAGGAGCCTGTGCCTCCTGCCGGGACCCTCTGTTCTGCTGTGCTGCACAGGCTGTGTTTTGTCTGCATAGTTTGGGGTCATTGTCCTTGTGCCTTTTTGATCCCTGTCACCACTGTACAGGATTTTCCACGTTACCACTGCCCCCTTTTCTACATCCTGTCGTTTACCCTGGCCCTTCCTGAGCCCTGTAAATGTGTACACAGTGTTCCACTCGGTGTCCACGTGCCTCCGCCACGGACGGTCTGCCCCCCACACTCCGCCAGGTCCCCTGGCCGGCGCACCCACCAGGGTCAGGCTCCTCTGCCCCTTCGCTCACTCAGCCTTGCAGACGTGGTCACTTTGTACAGAACTTTTCATTATGATCTTCCGCGTGGGGGACTCGGACCCACGTAGTCCCTCGTCGAGCCTGCCGCTAGTTTAGAAGCCTGCACACCAGAAAAGGGTGACTGTGTGTAAAGCAACTCCTCCCACAAACCTCTCCCTGTGTTGGTGTCACTATTTATAGGAAGCAGAACGCATCTTCCTAACCTGGGGCTTCAGCCCAGCAGGGATGTTACAGGTCTGCAGCAGCTCCGCGGGCCCATGGGGGATGCACCCTGGGCCCCAGAGGAAGCTCCAGCTGCGTGGCTCCCAGCACGTGGCATTGGGCCTGGGATCAAGCCGCTGCCATGCGGTATCTAGAACAGCTTCGGACAAGTGGGCAGGAGGGAGGGGCTTCTTGCTGCTGCACCTCTCTGCTGTTAACAACTGCCAAGCTCTTTCTCGTCCGCTGAAGGTGCTCAGACCCGGGTGCCATTAAATACCCGACTGCCGTCGGGACCGCCATCAGACCGTTCGTTCACTGCTGCGGACTCGCTCGCAGCCTGCTGGCTCCCTTGGTCCCGCTCTTACTGCTTCCTTGGCTGGGTCTCCTGGGGGCCAAATGGAGTGAATTGCACGTGTGGTCTCATGCCCAAGGGTTGGATAGGGGGCATTGGCTGTCTTTGGGGCTCCACCTGAGTCTTTTGCCCCAGGGCCCTCCATCTGGAAGCAGGTTAGTTTTCGGACTCAGGCGAGACCCCCCCTCCGGGCCCCAGGGTGGGCGGAGGGGAGTGAGGCCCTGAGGCCCTGTCCCAAGGTCCCTAGCTCGCTGCCTCCAGCCTGCTTTTTTCCGAAAAGGAGCTGGCTGTCGCAGGTGGGCTCCTTCGGGAACCAGTGTGCAGACCAAGGTGTAAATAAACAGTTTGCTCTTCTTGCCTGACTGGATGGTGAGTTTCTGTGGTGGGATGGGAGGGTGGGGGAGACACGGGCTGCTGCCAGCGCTCCTGGGGAAGAGCAGGCCTTGCCCAGCGTGCCGCGTGGCTGGCGCCGTCCTCCAGCGGCTGGGGGGTCACCCTGCAGGCCCTCGGCTCTCCCTAGGAGCAGCACTGTGGACCCCGGAAGCTCTGTAAGAGCGCTGTTCCAGCCATGGGGCTATGAGGTTTGAAAAGTTTGTCCTCACCGCACCCGCATTCCCTTTCCCAGTGGGGGCCTCCCAGGGGTCTCAGCTCTGGTCCCTGTAATGAGGCCCCAGTGCCATCTTCCTCCACTCCAGCCACCATGACTCCCCTGGGTCACAGGCCAGACCCTCCACTGGAGCCTGATTGCACACTGACCTGCCAGCGCTGGTCCTGCATGCCCTTGAGTGTCAAGGTGGCTCCAGGTTAGGGGGCCGAGACCCCCAGCTTTCTACCCTATTCTTGTTTACCCCTTCCTCTCGTTCTTACAGAATTCTAGGCATCAAAGGGGCTTACA